TGATGAAGGTGACGTCATGTTAGGAGGATAATGATGGCATCCACTATGATGATGTTGACATTATGCTTTGATGAAGGTGACGTCATATGATGACGTTACAATATAATAATGATGATGATAATGATGAATAGATTGATTTACACATTAACTACCTTTGGAAATTTAATAGCAAAAGTCAGTACGGTTGGTATTAAAAGGAGAACCAGTCCAATACAAAAAGTCAGTTTACTGCGAAGTGACCTGAAACGCCAAGGGAAACAATTAGTTGGAACAATTCAATCTCTTTATGTACGTATTGTAATAATATTGATATGCTGTATCAAACAAGATGACCTCTGCTTCATTGTTATTCATAGCTCAAGGGATTTTGAGTACATGGTTGCACACACTATATATCTTTATGTACGTACCTTGGAAGAATAGCGAGCTCCACGAAGAAGCAAAATATTAGGATAATGCACAGACAAGACAAGGCTGCAGAACTCATGTCTTGCTTCTCTAACGCGTACTGGAGAGAGAAAACAGTACACACTCTCATTGAAACTTATTGCGTACTTTATCCTAACTATTGGGGGTGTTTATGACGTCACATACCTGGTATTCTACGTCATAGCTCTTGAATCGTAGAGTGACTGGATTCATTTTCTCTTTCATTCCCCTGAAAACAACAAGGAGGAGAATACAGCAAGGGAGAATACAGCACATGAACGGTGCTATAACAGAAGAGTAACGTAGGGAAGCACCGGTGGCGTGCGCTGCTAATGCGCCGCCTCTCACCAATGCGACCCGGGTTCGAGTCCTGCCGATCTCGATGTCGTATGTGAGTAGAGTTGTTTGTGGGTTCTCTCCTGTGCTTCGAGGGTTTTTCTCCGGGTTCTCCGGTTTTCCTCCCTCCTCAAAAATCTACTTCTAAATTCTAATTCAATCTTTGGGCTTTCAATTAGTTTGGATTCTATCTCTGTCGCTCAGCATCATTAAGGCATGGCTCTCAGATGAAAAACTGATTAGCTATATCAAAGCCAGTTTTCTACGAATCTTCCCCAAACTTGGCAAGTTAATGTCTTTTGTGAAAAGAAGGAACCTTAGAGCCTTGGTTACCATGGAAACTAAGTCACGTGACCACAAGGCCGCCATCTTGAATTTTTAAACAAGCCGTTTGTAAACGTACCAAAACATCTTTAAAAGTCATGAAAATGCAGATTACTATTCATATTTACAATGCCTACAAACGATTTTTWAAAAAATCCAAGATGGCGGACCTTGTGGTCACGTGACCTGGTTTCCATGGTAACAGATATGCGGTAATTGCTTGCCTTGAAGAATTACTACTACGAGCCAAATTTGGGAAAGATTCATAGTAAACTGTCAAAGATATGAATAAATAACTGATTTTCCATCACTTCCTCAAAAGAACCATGCCTTAATGGTGCTGAGCGTGATTGTCCCACGCTGGGATACAACAGCGAAAGCTTTGTAGATTTTTTTGAACGTAACTAGTTTGAGTTGGAACATGAGTAATAGGTCAATTACGAGCCTTAGTTTGAGTTGGGTCAACTTGTGAAGCATTAATTATGGAAATAAAAACAGTACGTTTTCTTTAACTGTAAGTTAATAATGATTCGTTCAATCTTTGATATATATTCGTTCACTCATTGATATAGACGACTATTATATATACAGTACCATGACTTTACTTACTGTCCTACTGTCCTCTCGTCCAACTTTTCACGTAGAAGCTTATTGAGAGCTCTCTCACTAAAAAAAAAACCACAAGAACAACACGTTACGAGAAATAAAAAAGAACCTCATTCATTAACAGGATCAAGGTCAAAGATGTTGTTATGATTACCTTGAGGTCGATGAATCGGACTTTTCTGAGTCCTCCTGTAAATGAGAAAACATTATCAGGATACGAAGGTAATAAGTTGATTTACCTTGCATTGGTAGATAAAAACAACACCTACCCAATAGATACCCAATACACCCAATAGATACCCAATACACCCAATAGATACCCAATACACCCAATAAATGCCCAATAAACCCATTAGATACCCAGTACACCCAATAAGCACCCAAAACACCCGATAGATACCCAATACATCAAAATAGATACCAAATACACCCAGTAGATACCCACTACACCCAATAGATACCCAATACACCCAGTAGATACCCAATACACCCAGTAGATACCCAATATACCCAGTACACCCAATACACCCAGTAGATACCCAATATACCCAGTACACCCAATAAGCACCCAAAACACCCGATAGATACCCAATACACCCAGTAGATACCCAATACACCCATTAGATACCCAATACACCCATTAGATACCCAATACACCCATTAGATACCCAATACACCCAGTAGATACCCAATAAACCCAATAAACCCAGTAGATACCCAATATACCCAGTAGATACCCAATACACCCAGTAGATACCCAATACATCCAGTAGATACCCAATACACCCAGTAGATACCCAATACACCCATTAGATACCCAATACACCCTGTAGATACCCAATACACCCAGTAGATACCCAATACATCCAGTAGATACCCAATATACCCAGTAGATACCCAATACATCAAAATAGATACCCAATACACCCAGTAGATACCCAATACACCCAGTAGATACCCAATACACCCAGTAGATACCCAATACACCCAGTAGATACCCAATACACTCAGTAGATACCCAATACACCCAATAGATACCCAATAAAAACCCAATAAATACCCAATAAACCCATTAGATACCCAGTACGCCCAATAAGCACCCAAAACACCCGATAGATACCCAACAATAGATACTCAACAGCCAATACACTCATTCGTAGATACCCCATACACCCAACAGCTGTCTAATACACCCAGTGGATACCCAATACATTCAATAGATACCCAATACACCCAGTAGATACCCAATACACCCAGTAGNCCATACACCCAACAGCTGTCTAATACACCCAGTGGATACCCAATACATTCAATAGATACCCAATACACCCAGTAGATACCCAATACACCCAGTAGATACCAATACATCTAATAGATACCCAATACACCCATTAGATACCAATACACCCAGTAGATATACACCCCAATAAGCATCCAATACACCCAATAGACACCATACACTCAATAGCCAATACACTCATTTGTAGTTACTCCATACACCCAACAGCTGTCTAATACACCCAGTGGATACCCAACACATTCAATAGATACCCAAAACACTCAACAGCCAATACACCCAAGTATAGTGTAATCGACTTACAGTCCACGTAGAGATTCTTCTTTTATTGCCGTCTCGTTCTAATATACCATCTTCATCCTTGTCCTCCCAGTAACTATTAGTATTTATTAGCTCCATGATGGGAGATGAGGTTCTTCGGTGCTTCGTCGAGTTTTCCGGTAATGTCAGGGTGTCTACGTCCTCCTGCTAAGGACCACGTGACAACTAGTTATTGTGGTAATGCACTAAAATAATCATTATCTTGGAGATCAAGGATGGTGTAGCTGTAGTGCACTCACGTCTAGAGTCTCAGGTTTGATTCCTGGATTTGGCTCATAGACGTCCCTTGAGAGGGGATTTTCAAGGGTGGTGTAGTGGTAGTGAGCTCACCTCTCACCTCTGGAGTCTCAGGTTTGATTCCTGTATTCGGCATCACATGTGAGTAAATAGGGCAAATAAAGCTAATTTTTTTACTTCGACAAAGCAGAGAGTGGTTGCACAATTCTCCCGAGCTAGGGGCTCAATTTTACCCCCTCAGACTATCACTAATCCTTATTACGGGTATTTAAAGCTAAAAAAACATAGAACAGAACAGAAGTTGAAACAGAGGTGGAGACTCTGAGGATTGAACTCAGGGACCTCTAGCATTTCAGGCCACGTACGCGCACTAACCAACTGAGCTACGCCTGCTCGTAGTAAAGTTTCCTTTCGAAGGATGTAATTTTTTAAACTAGTTCCAGTACAAGTTATGAATATTTAATTCTACTATACCAACCTTTATTTTTGTCGAGTTCTTGTTTTTACTTATGGGCTTGGTAATAAGATGCGTCTTGACTTTGTGTTCGAGGAGGTAGTCGTCACGTGACTGTCCGTTCCCTTCTTCTACCTCGAACTCGTCCTTTATGCAGTTGTACGTCACATCGGAGATATGGACACGTCTAGTGATGGTAATGAAAAATAAGTCACTAAAGTAGCAAACTAACCAGCCAAGCCATACTTAATCTTGAAACAAGTGTGTGAGGTCACTGAGGATCAAATTATGGACCTCTTGCTTAGCAGGCAACATGCTTACCAACCAAGCCACACTTGCTCCTTAAAACAAGTGTGTGAGGTCACTGAGGATCAACGTGTGGACCTCTTGCTTAGCAGGCAACACGCTTAACAACCAAGCCACGATTGCTCCTTAAAACAAGTGTGTGAGGTCACTGAGGATCAAATTATGGACCTCTTGCTTAGCAGGCAACACACTAACCAACCAAGCCACACTTGCTCCTTAAAACAAGCGTGCGAGGTCACTGAGGATCAAATTATGGACCTCTTGCTTAGCAGGCAACACACTAACCAACCAAGCTACACTTGCTCCTTAAAACAAGTGTGTGAGGTCACTGAGGATCAAATTATGGACCTCTTGCTTAGCAGGCAGTACACTAACCAACCAAGCCGCACTTGCTCTTTAAAACAAGTGTGTAAGGTCACTGAGGATCAAACTACGGACCTCTTGCTTAGCAGGAAGCACACTAACCAAACGAGCCACACTTGCTCTTAAAACAAGCGTGTGAGGTCTGAGGATCAAACAATAGGCCTCTTGCTTGGCAGGCAACACACTAACCAAGCCACACTTGCTCTTTAAAACAAGTCATGAAGTCACTGAGGATCAAACTGTTTCTTATCTTACCCAGGTATTCCACCAGACTCCATGTGATTGGCTAACGTCACGTCATTAGACCAAGCATCAAACTGCCATTTCTTCTGTCCCAGTACTCCCGCGAGAACCGTTCCACTGTGGATGCCCACGCGCATGTTCAGGGAGGCAACTCGCTTTGCTTCGCGCACTTTCCTAAAGAAAAAGAAAACAATCCAAATTAGAACCACCTCGTGTAATACGGCGTGTATATATATTTTAACTTGGCCGTAATTTTTACTCATTTCAGACCTTGTTTCATTCTCTCTAGGATATGACACGTCTGAAATGCGAAAATCTCACCGCAATGTTATGTGACTCAAAGATTTCAAAGGGTTAAAAATAAGTGAGAGTAAAACAAAAAGTTTTACTTTTGGACGCCACCAATTGCAATACGCCTATAGAGGAATGTTGCTAACTATAAGATCAAACAGCTATCAAGACTTGTTTGCCCTACTTACGCGATGTGTTGCACCATGTCTAGACCCATGTTCACGGCACATCGAGAATGATCAGCATTACCATCTAGTCCCGATATACAATAATAACAATCCCCTAATATCTTGATTCGAAGACAACGATTTTTCTGCAAATTTACATATAAAAAGAATATTACTTGCAAATTAACTAGGAAAAAGGCATAGACGAGGCACCAAAAGGTAGCCTTGGGCAATGGCCCTTAACGTTAAGAACTAGATATTCTTTTGTCAATATAGATCTCTTCAGCTGGAGCGTAAAGGTTCCCCATTTCAGACCACGTCTCATTCTCTTGAGAATGCTGTTAAACAAAGAAATGATACTCTAGGGAATAACACGTGGTCTGAAATTGGAAAACATTACACCCAAGGTAAAGAGGTCTATTGAAATTAAAGAATAATTTATCTATATGTTAAGTGTATGCTACATCGAGTGTATAAGCAGATTAAAAAATTTCCCTCAGTTGGGTTCTCTTTTCATAAATAATTTATCTATTTTTCATTGGCACGTTGCATCATAACTGCCATATTGGTGGTATTTACAAACGATTTCTCATAAGTATCTACCAACATGCTATTTTTGAGTCGTTTAACTCTCTTGGTAATGCTTGCGATTGTTCTTACCGCTCCAATCTTGTCAAAGATGGCGAATAACTCGTTGAGTGTGACGATAAGTTCTTCTGCTGTACACTTGGACGAGAGTTCAGTGAATCCTACGATATCTGCAAACAGTATGCTAAAAATACAAAATAATTTTGTAAATCACTCCGTTTTAAGAAAATGTAGTATAACATGCCTGAGACCATGACTTTTGTTTCGTGAGTAAAAAGGTATTTTTGCAACTAAGTGCCCTCCAAAATGGCTGCCATTGCGGCAAATTTCTTTCGCATGTAATCCAACATGGCTACCGATACGCGGGTTCATTGTCTTGTCATCCAACATTTCTGCCAGCTAGTACGTGATGTTTTGCACGTGATGTTTTGCACGTGATGGTTTGCACGTGATATCCAATATGGCTGCTGATCTTATTATCTTGTCCTCCATCATGGCGGCTTTATAAAACTAACCCGTCTTACCTGCAAAAGTCGTGGGTCTTGATGTAGAGTTTATTGAAGTCCCCATTTTTCAGTACTGTCCCGTCAGACTCGATGTCATTGGCCATTTCATTTGCCACGTGCTCCGGGAGAACTGACAGTAGCAGACGTTTCTATAGCAACAACATATATATCATCAAATTTGAAATTCCTATATATACCTGATACTAGATCCCTGGTTGACCCCTGGTTCTCTGGCTTTCCTCCCTCCTCAAAACCCAACGTGCTAAATTCCAATCTAATCTGTTAGTTAGCTGTGCCCTGACTTATATCAGCCCAGAGGTTGTTTAGGGTTTGATCTGTGACTTAGCCGTGCCCTGATTTATAGATCAGCCCAGAGGTTGTTTAGGGTTTGATCTGTGAGTTAGCCGTGCCCTATAGATAAGCCCAGAGGTTGTTTCAGGGTTCAATCTGTGAGTTAGCCATGTCCTGACTTAGATCAGCCCAGAGGTTGTTTCAGGGTTCTATCTGTGAGTTAGCCATGCCCTGACGTGGATCAGCCCAGAGGTTGTTTTATTATTGGGTATCAATTAAAGGCTTTATTAATTGTCGCTCGCCATAATATGTCCTTAATAACCTGTTGCAGATTCTGTGCCTCCAGTGTCAGCTTCACTTCTAAAGACTGCCTGGTCTCCAGGACTGACCGTCTTTGTTTCTTGTCTGCAATATGGTAATCAATCGCTCCGAGGATGTTCGCACACAGAAGGAGAAAAACATTGGCTGTCAGCTGTCAAACAGATATTATTAGGATCACTATTAATATTAATGATATCAACTATCATCATCATCGCTATTTTTATTCATATATGCTCTCACATTTCAATAAACGGAATCAAATTTATGTTAATCTGAGTTACATTTCCTCATCAATAATTTATTTTCTCGAGTGTAACCGCCGATAGAGAAAGAAAACCTACTAAAGGGAATTAAACGTGGCCTGAAATGAGATTAAAAAAAATACTTGACAGAAACGAAATAGTTTGAAATGGCCCAATTAGAGAGCATACCATATCCTTGAAACATGTTGTAAGAAATTGCACAAATTAGTAAGTTCATTAGACCTCGCTGAGTAGACCGTAGACCTACAAAACCTTGCACTAATTTGTACAATTTTGTTAGTTAACATTTTCACGGATATATGGTGTATATATGTCGACCTTATCAGATTCATATTGCCTCAAATCATTGTTATTTGAAAAAACCTGCATTACAATAATTATCATTGTTATCATAACCATTAGATTTTCATAAATAAAGACCAACTTCTAAATTTCTATTCAACCTTTGGACTTTCCGCTAAAGTTTCATTCTTTTGGGATTATTCAATGTGTCAATATTAAAGAATAACCCGTCTTTAATTATATTTTTTCCTAAAATGAGATCCTTTTTGATTCGGTATTTTTTAAAGCGTTCTTGGGCACAAAAAAAAAAAAAAAAAAAAAAAAGAGAAATTTAGCTAGTGAAACCGCGATTGAAATAAAAGTCAAAAGAGTTGGTCAATCGGTTAGCAAATTCTCGCTCAATGCGCACACATCTGTAAAGACCAGCCAGACAAACGTAGCCGTAGTTTCCATGGAATCCTATTCAAGGCAAATTGTAATTGTTCTCTAGGAAATTTCTAGGGAAGTCCTAACTGAAAACAATACTATTATCCATTAAATTGGTCGCCCTACGTGTTCAAATTTTGCCCCAAAATCCAGTAATTAATTTAAGAGTAGCCGGTCTTGACAATATTAGGTCATAAATGTGTCGAAAAGGAGTTATTTGTATCTCATTATGCGAGGAAATTGTCCAAAATGACATAAATTGTTTACCAAGTGTAAAAGTCAATATAGGGATCTGTATTCATGTTCTCTATTCGTCCAAAAGCGACAAAATTTGGTTGATCTTCGCATCAATGAATGAACACTCCCCCAAGGCAACTTGCTAAATTATTTAAAACCAAACTATTAGTGTACAAAAATATCCCCAATATCGCTATAAATAGAATGCTAGATGAAGCGAACGCCTTGTAGAAAAAAATATTTTTTCAGACTATTTTTTCCTTTTAAGATAAAAAGATCTTTGTTAGAGATTTATGACACGATTTTCGGCGATAGTCAACCCATTTTTCATTGAATCTCCTGATCGCGTAATACAACGAAATTATCGTCCTTCTAATCATCAGCCACTTTCATTATCTCCCCATAACGGCCTGGCTTCTCATTGGCTGGTTGTGGATAGGTACTCGGGATGACATCACCACCCACCTGTTTTGAGCCAAGTATGTTTTACTTTAAGTCAATTTATTCCTTTTTTCTCATCTTAGTTCTGTCAACATTGAGCGCCTGAGTAAGAAGCTGTTCTTTTTATTGAACTTAAAGAATCTTAATGAATGATTTGTTATACATTTTGAGATCAAAGCAATTCATTTCGACGCTAAATGAAATGCTACAGGACGAACGACTAAAAAAAATCATATCTATTACCTCGGAAAGCTCTATCGATAAGATGAATTTAAGATAAGAATAAATAGCTGTGAAAATAGAATTATATTTTCGTTAGCATGTTCTAGCATCGAGTTCCAGAATAATTTTGCAACATTACTTATACCGGAATGATCTATTGTTTTAGATCACTTGTAGACAGCGAGCATATTGAAAAAATTGTATACAAACACCCTCAGAATGACTTACACCGGAGAAGTCAATATTCCGCATTCGTCACAAAATCTTGTTTTTAAGAGCATTATCTTATACGTGTTGGAAAATAATTTTTGTTAGCACTGTCGTAATAATTTTTGAAGTCAAGTTTCTTCAGTGGCTGGTGTTAGAAAAAAATATTGGGGAAACGTATTTTTTCTAGATACAAGACAACCGCTCAAGGACACTATGCAAATAAAGCACTCGTTACGAATTTTCTTATAAACATAAGACAGTAAACCTAGTTTTAAAAAAACTTTGTACCGCCGACAGAAATTGAGAAAAAATACTAAATCCATCTTTCAATTTGATGCTACTTTTTATGATAACAAAGACAGGAGCATCCCGAAACGTTTTTGCAGAAAATTTTCGCGCTTTTAACAATAAAATAAAAATCTTTATGTAACTTAGAAACGGTAAGTTCTTTTGTGTTTCTTTCGTATAATTATCGTAAGCAAATACTCTGGATTTACTGCAGTAAGCGGTTCATCCAGGCAAAAGCTACAAAAACCTCTCTTTTTCTCTCTCCCATAACTATAGATAAATTCAATTTTAAAACCTTGGTTTAAGGCTGTTTTTAAATTTTTTCCCTCTTTTTTATGAGGTCAAGAAAGTCGTGTTTTATTTGTGTGAGGTGACTCTATATCAGGTGATTTGAAAACACCAGAAAAAAAGCAACTTAGGAGAAAGACATGTCTTGATACTTACACTATGGGGAGTAAGTTCCTTAGCATATGAAGCGAATAAAATAAATAAATAAAAAAATAAAGATAAAACAGCTTTTATTTTTAACACTGAATGCGAATTGTTTTCTAAAACAGTATTCGCCCGCGTAAAGACACGTTCTTTTGCAAGAATTTTTTAGAACAGCTCGATCATTTGTATTCCAAAAAGAGAATAAGATAAAGGCCATTGCTTAATAAATGTTCAAAAATATAATATATTTACATTGAACATTCGCTTCTCTTGCTCGAATCTGCTCATTAAATCTCCTAATGACATCAAAAAAAAAAAAAAAAAAAAAATACTGCTTTAACTCAAGGAAAAGAGAATAAAATTGAAAGATGTGTAATTTTTCTACACAGTTATTCGAAAATCAGGAATTCAAAGTAGTTGATGATAAAAGTGGTAATGCTAGAAGAGGTGATCATTTGATATCTAATGAAGAAGGATTACCTGTTGTCCGTGGTAGTGTAGATTGTGTCTTGCTTGAGTTCCTGATACTATGATGTGTGCTACCCCAACAGCTAGGGAAAAAACTGCACACATGATAAGCCTTGCTGGAAGCATAACATAATTGATAAAGGAAAAAAACGTAAACATTGCCACTGAATCGCTTGGCGTAAGTGGATCATATCCAAAAGTCTGGTCTACAAGCAGTTCTGAAAATATTCCAAGCCATATAATGTAAGGTAACCACTTGAAAATGCGAGCAGAGAAGAGCTTTAGAARATAGAGGCTGATCAGTAGAAGATAAAGTACACCGTAAACACATGTTATGATAACTCTGTTGATCTGTGTCTGACTGTCTTGTTGAAATACAGCAGCATACATCGCGATCAACGCCATGTTCACCAAGAACACTAGCAGAATAATATACAGGAATCGATCAAGCTTTTGGTGTTCGTAATAGTGTTGGTAAACCTCCTCGAGAGATTTGGACGAGAATTCGGATTTCAGAGAGGATGGTACACATAAGAATTGGCTTAATGAAGATAATATAGAACGTTTTTCTCCACATTGCTTTTCAATTGAATCCTTAAAAGCGACTTTGACACTCGAAGCACTGATTTTAGAGGCCGATTCAGCTCGAACTGCAAGCATTTGTTTCTTATTATTCATAGGTCTCCTTTGTCCTTTCGTTGGACTCGAATCCGACACTGCACTAATGTCCGAGTTTTCTTCATTTGGTTTCGATGGTGATCCTTCGTCTTTTTCCACGTCGTTTGCCCAGCGAACAGACATCGGTGTAACTTGACGATCGCTTGTAATTGTAGTTTTTCCCATCCTCTTTAACCATTTTCTCCCGAAGTCTCATTCTTTCCCGTCATTTTCCTTTCCACCACAAACAGATCTACATTTATGATCTACAGAGGTCAGGTTTGGGAATAGAATCTTGTCGTCGAAATCGATGGATTTTTCTCTTTCCTTTTTATACATAATGCAAATCAGGCAGGAAGATCGAGAAAAATCCTCGCTCATTCATTGGTCGACAAGACAATAGCGAGACGTACGCTTTAGTACGTTAAAGTAAAGTTGATTTAACTACAATACAGCCCGAAATATTCTCTTTACTTTCAAGATACTTCGCAAGAAAAACTCTTAACTCAAAATCTAAAAATGTTACATTTTAGCGTAAAATCAAAAATATATATATCAAAAAAAACAAAAAAACAAAAAAAAAACAACACACCTTTGCATGTGTTTTTCAGTTGAAAATTATATTTTGGTTGTTAGGGATATACGTCAGTGTGTATTTTCTTAAAATGCAAAAATAATTATATCAAAAAGAATTGAATTTCCGTGCTTCAAAGGGCGTCTATGTATTTTTAGGACTGGCGAAAAAACCTACGTAAATTGATCAAACTACTTTCATTGTCACCTAGAATGAAATATTAAAATCTTAGCGGAAGAGCTATGAAATGACCTATAAAGCTCATGAACATCAGATACAGATCTTTAAAGTCAAAAAAAAGAAAGACTTAAAGAGAATTATCAAGATGCATATTATATAAAACTTAATTGTATTTTACATTAATTGATTTTCATCGAAGTTTTTCATCTTTTACAATATTTACGGTTTTTCATTTGGTTTTTGTTGGATATCTACTATCTAACTGCTTTCTAAAGGACCGGCCATATTGCGATACACTTTACTGTTACAATAAAGGTAGTTCAGTAACCTTTAGTATTGTTTTCGCCCTGTTGAAAAAAAGATTTCAGCGCGCATTTTTTTCTTTGACGTGACTTTTTCTCGCCTGTTGACGAACGCTTCCTCAGCAGGTAGGTGATCTTTCACCATCTGACAAATTTCGATTCTATTCACATCTTTATATTTAAAATAATATTTAATATTCGTTTTTCAGGAAAGGAGCAAAGCTATAAAACTAGAATTGTAATACAGACATTTTATTTAAGACAGATTTTATTTTTTAATTACCGTAGCTTGGTTTTATTTAACTTAGTCCCGCACAATTTTATCTAAAATTTAAAATTTTAATTTAAAAACACTAATTATTGAAATGCATAGACTTTAGAAAAATATGAATTTTTTATATTTTGAAAACATTTTGAAAAGAAAAAAGAAAAAACTTACGACAGTGCGCTCATTAAGCGACCTCGTTTTTATGGAAACGTGTTGCTATGACAACGAATCAGCACTAGAAAGATGACAACTTTGAATGGTTGAACTGGTTTTGAAGAGTTGTTCATTATGGAAAGAACAGAAATGAATGAAAGTAAGGATGAATGGGATGAATGAATGAGCGAAGAATGATAGAATTAAGAAACAAGAGAATGGGAAAAGCGAACGAACGAACGAACGAGCGAGCGAACGGACGGACGGACGTACGGACGGACGTACGGACGGACGAGATAGGAAAGAATGAAATGATGAAATGAGGTTGAATAGGACGAGATGGGATTGGACGACAAGAATTGAAGAAAAAACAGAAATCACACATTTGGCTTTCGACAAGATGAATAAATACTCAAAGTAACACTTACATGCTGAATAAACATAACTCAAATTGCACAATGCCACCCTTAAGAGCTATGATATCACGTTCTTGATGAGAAAATAAGCTGTAATAACTGGAATTCAGCGTGTTAGGTTCTGCAAAGGGTGGAAAACCGGAGAAGTTGGAGAAAACCTCTTGAATCAAAGAGGAAGGAGAGAGAGAGAGAGAGAGAGACCTAATTAAGGCCCATTCCACACCTATCCGAATATTTTTGAGAACGGATTTTTTCCCTCTGTGGATTAGCTTTCCATCTTTCCGAAAACGAATACCTGTGGACAGGCGAAAACGATTCGAAAGAAACTACGTGTGCACGAACATTTTTTTGTGTGTGTTTGTAAATGGAATAAGCATTTCCGTTCTCAAAAACCTTGAGGTACGTGTGGACGGAGCGCCGAACTCTATAGTCACGTAATACAGAGTCCCGGAAACAAACCCGAAAACCCGAATGGCACATCGTGAAATTGCAGAATCACACATATCAAACAATTGTTGTCATTCGCGGGCTTCCTGTGGTGACAAACCACGCTCCCCTCCCCTACACAATTTCCAGTCTTTTTTCGGCCAAAACCAAGATGGCTGACTAGTTAGTGATGTTTTCACTCGATTTACTGTAAATTTGAGCAGTTTTGAGCAAGAAATTCGCCTATTTAGTGAAGAAAATTATATTCCAATTTCCTAATATGGTAAGTACATTCCATATATGGTAAAAGAAACAGCTCGAGCGGAACGACAACTTTTCTATGTGGAAAGTTTGATATGTTTTCGCAGTAAACCTTATTTCCCCCCCTTTTTTAAAGGTGAAAATTTAACTGCAAATCTCTTCGGGTCTCCCCCCCCCCCCCCCGAAATTTTAATACGAAATCAAGCGGGATCAAGCTTTTCTACGATCATTTCTAAAGAAATACGCGGGATTTCAAAATTATATAACACCGAAAACAGGTTTTTAAAACCTGTTTGGAACCAATTCAACTTCCGGTAAGTAGTATAGATGGTCTCCTAAAATTGTTATCTTTGTTGGCATAGCAACATGGACGTTTGTACGAAAGATGTTGATTCATATATTACCCTATCGAGAATAACCTTTGTCTTTATCAGCGAATTATTCTTTTTAGCCTGTCATTGYAATATAGAATTAAGATACGGTGAAAAGATATCTAGGCAACGAGCCAATAAACGGAAGATATATGACATAACGATGGAATACTTCACGTCATCGTTTACGTCACTGTTAGATCTAGATGACAACTTCGACGTTTGTTGTCATAAACCTTCTTTGTTCAAATGTTATTCTGTTTTACTGGCTTTTCTCATTGCATCCGCCTTGTTGACTTTTGATAATCGTTAAAATTAAACGTTCATATTTCTCGATCAATATATTATCTTTTGCATTTCATCATAACATTATCAAGTAAGTATGTAAAACAATCACATAGACCCAGATAATGATTATTTGTGAAGATTTTTGGTAGATTAATATAGAGAAATTGCTGAATAATTGACTTAATTTAATGACGATTTTTCGTTGGATTGTTATCACCAGACTAGTCGGCGCTAGACAATGTTTATTTGAGTTTTTTGTTTCTGAAATAAAATAATTCCAAGTTCAGACTTTTTCACTTTACAGGTGTCAAAGTGAAAAGGGGTTTTGCAATACACTAATTTGACTGTCAAAAAACTTTTAGAGAGAAATTTGGACCTGCAAGAATCGATTAAGTTTCACAATTACGTGCGTTTGGAGAGAAAAGAAAAAGAAGAGAGGAGAGGAGAGGAGAGGAGAGGAGAGGAAGAAAAATTAAAGAAAGATAATAATAAAAAAAAATAAACAACAGAGGATAATCTTGGATACGAACGAGTTTTACACAATAGGAAATATTTGAATCCAGGGCCCGGGGTGAGAAGGGTGGATATCGCTATCCGACAGATAAATCCTTATCCATTGCATAAGTTGATGCTGTTATTCAATAGATTTATTCACTGGATAAGATTTATATTCTAATTTAAAAAAACAATTTAAAAGAAATTTTAAGCTTGTAAAATTGTTACAATCAAGTTCTATCGCTGATGTAAGTCAGGAAATGATTATCTCACAGATTGAACCGTGAAAGAAGGAAAACCGGAGTAAACCCCTCGCAACAATGGAAAATATTGAACATGTGACGTTAAGTCCAGTCAAAAGTTTACAGTGTTTTAGTTTTTTTTTTTTTTTTTTTTTTTTTCAATGGTTTTTTCTGTTTGTCAGAAGAAAATAATATAAAATTCTTGCTTGAAAAAGAACAAATTCTAGCGGGGACCAATGATTGAAGAGTATATGTCAATATATCAAACAAGAACGACCGTTGGGTGCCCTGTGGTCCAGGCTTATTATCACGGTATCAACAGATAATGGAACAAAACACAATGGATCAACAAAACGAGTATGTCGAAGTTATACAAGCAATGGGCACCCTGTGGTCCAGAGTCATTGTTTCAGCAAATGATCGACTTTCTCGTACCCAGGCCATATGTTGTTAATGAGTACCAGAATGAAATGATCGAACGATCCCACAAAGTAAGTCAGAACAAAGCAATGAAAAAACAAAAAACAAAAACGATAAGAATATCGGCGTTATACAAGCGATGGGAACCCTATGGTCCAGAGTCTTTTTGTGTCAACAATTGATCGACTTTCTCGTACCCAGCTGGCCATATGTTGTTAATGAATTATCAAACGAGCCGACAAAATAGGTCAGAACAAAACGATGGAACAACAAAAGATTAGAAAATAAATAAAAGTACAATACTTAAGGTGATGATAGATATAACGCATATGGCTTGTTATGTCATGCACAATAGAGGCTTTGAACCATCACGTGACGGCAGCCATGTTATAGATGGCAGGAACAATATAATCGTTTTACATGAAAAAGAATTCAATTCCCAAGAGCAAAGGGACTTTATTGTTTTCCCATCTAACCACAGGCAGCCCAAGCTGTATTATGGACGTCGGCACGTGATGGTGCAAAGCCTCTATAGATCTTTCCCGAATTCGCGTCTATTAACTATGGCCTGAGTGAGTGACAATAAAACATTAGCTCCAAGACGAGGTGGGACTTGATGTGTTCATACATTTACTGTATTTTATCAAGTTCAACCTAGCCTGCGTAACGGCCCAAATTGGGAAATTGGGGTGGGGGAGGGGGGAAGGGGTGGGAGGCCTCCCCCATCTCGGAGTCAGTGCTACATGACCACTCAAGCGAATCCGTAGCCAAGTCATTAAATGTTGAAAAACTATTTCAAAGGATTAAAAATGTAGCTAATCACATGTCTGAATATACCCAATCAAAAGCTAACCTACAAAAAGTCACGTGTCCTGCCACTACCAATCAGAGATAGGAAATCGATCACATGACAACACAAGCATGGTTTTCGCATTCATCTTGTTTCTTCACGTGGTCTGTTCGTGCTTGGACTGTTGTTGCTATGGGAACCTCTTCGTGGGATTTCTTGTCTGTTTCAGGTGTAACTGGTTGTGACGTTGGAGAGGAGCTGGGCACGGGGCTGTCAGATCCAGAAGTTCGTTCTGCAAGTTGCTTGCGCATTCCTTTTAATTCTTTACGAAGTCTGTGGTAAAATAAAACAACTCAAAGTTACAATCAAACTAAGCATATATTTTCTATTTAACTAATTATTTTTATGCTGGCCCCTCCTTAAATACCATATATTTAACATGCCCCCCCCCCCCCCGCTAAATGTAACCAGGCCTCTATGCCCGTAAAAATGAACGGTCGCTAATTATTGGTGAGAATTCTTACCGTTTTATTTCTGTGTTGTACACAACTTCTTGTTCATGGATGGTTTTCTCTCGTATCTCTTGTGTAGTGAGCTAAAGTGAGAGAAGAGTGGGAGATCAAGAAAGGAGGCATAAGTCAGTCAGTCAGTCGGTCAGT